CGCCGCCGCCCTCACGCGGCTCCCGGCTGCGGGCGCAGGTTTCAGCGACGTGGGGCAGTTCCTGGCCGCCTTTCACAGCCAGCGGGACGCCGTGGTGGAGGCCGCGCAGAAGCTGCTCTCCGGTGACCTGGCCCCCCAGAGGCAGAAGCTCCTGGTGGACCTCCTTCACAACTTGGACGAGAACATCCTAGCAGAGGACAAGGAGGAGGACAAGAAATGGTTTGAAGGCAAGCTCTGCCTTGTCTACGCTAGACCCTTTAAGGACAGTAGTCTTACTTCTGCTGAGAACAGTCGTTTCTGTCCGTTTCAGATTTTCTGAAGGAGGAGAAACTTTAAAGTGTGGCAGTCCTTCTGGTTTCTGGGATGTGGCACTTCTTGCTGGTCAGGGGAAGATTATTTTAACAACTTACCTTAGCATTCATTTTTCAGTTTCTTTAAAATACATACATATTTCAGTATCAGAAATTGGTTAAAAAACCAACTTTCTCTATTGCTTCATCCAGTGTAACCCTATAATATATAAAAGGGAGATTTTTCCCATTAACACTAAGTAGAGCTGCACATACAATCTTTTAACAATCAGCTCATGAAGTGTTGATAGTTTGTTGAGTATCAACTATGGGTTGATAGTTTGTTTTTTCTCTGTAAGTTCATCTTCCAGTTCCCAGCTCATGCTAAACTCTTCATTCTGAACTCTGCGGTTCTTTCCGAACTCTTCAGTTTTTTATCGGATAGTCTTTTAACATTGTGCGTGTATGCACATTAATAAGAACCATTTAACAACTAAAATATCTATTACTGCTCTCAGAGCAGTCAGTCCGCTTGGTCCTCCTAAGCGCTAAGAGCAGGGTAGTCTTGTATCAGTAAAATAAAAATGGGAAAGAAAAAATTACTTATACTGAGTTTTGTGAAAAGAAGGGATATATCTAAGCAGAAGTACAGAATTAAAAGTACTGTCCACTGTTACAAAGTAACTCTCTTTAGGTCTAGAGTCTCGTTTTAAGAATAAGTCAAGCTACATGCGATACAGTTGTGAAAGCAGAATACGAAGCTACATGAAAGAGGTAAAAGTTTCTGTAATGCAACTTATTTTCAAGCTGCTAGTAAAAGTAATTCAGTAATTGCATATCTTAAAAAAATGTTTCTGTAGCGCAACATACTTGTAGGAAAAAAGCCTCAACCTGCTATAGGCACCAAGTAATGACTGTATTTTTTTTTTTTTTTAAGGTTAGTGGTTTTATTTCAAATGTTCATCCAACAGCAAGAGATGCATATAAAAGGATAATTGACCTTATGTTGGATAAACTGAAATCTGTGAAATATAACGGGTGCTACTTTGACAGAAGAGAGGAGGAAGCAGTCCGCCTGTGCACTGTGGAGGGATGGTTCTCTTGTCAAGTAAGTTGAGCCCTTTCTAAAGCGCAGAGTCTTGACTGCAACGAGCAGTGGCACGGTTTACAATGACAATATTAGAGGAAGGAGACAATTACTTTGATGTTTGTGTAGTCAAGTATCAATCAAGTTCAGCAGTGGGTAATGCTATAGCTTGCATGATCTATTTCTGGTTACAGCAAATGAAAGCTTTGTCAATACTGGGCTAGGACCAAGCTAGGATGAGAAGCTGTACACCCTTCATTGTATTGATCTTGTTTTTCAGGGACCTTTTGACAGGGATTACTGCCCGTGTAAACATTCTATCAACCCCTACAGTAACAGGGAAAGCAGAATCCTCTTCAGTACCTGGAATCTCGATCACATGTATGTATAAAGTATTAATCCAGACCTACCTGTTTCATGCTCTTCCTCTTAGATAGCAAAGGTGTTGCCTGTGAGTCTTTTCCCCCTTCCTTGCCCCCATCATACGCTTAGCTCCACTATGAACTGTGCGTTGCTGTAAAAGATGCTTGGATGCTGCAACAGTGTCTGGTAACAAAATCCTGAAGACGGATTATAAGGCAGTCTCTCATTAGCTGCTTTGCCAGTGTTCCGATTTTCGCTGTATACAAACATGCCCCTCTTCAGCATATTGCCCTTTGGGAAGGCTACTCTCTTCTATACACCTGTGTCTGGCAAAAAAAAAAAAAAATCAGGCATTGTGCACTTGTGAAACAAACAGGATTTGCTAAACCAGTTTCTTCAGGGAGAAAAAAAGAAAAAAAAAACCCAAACAACCAAAAAAGCCCAACTTTATAAAACTACTTATGGCAAAAGAATTCAACTTCTATCCTGCTTTTAGAGGTATTATAACAAGTATTATATCAGACTAAAATAGTAAGACTAAGACTAAAATACTGAGACTAAAAAGACTGAGCATAGGGAAAGGTGTTTATGAGTGAGGCACTAGATACTTCTTTGTGATTACCATACTTGGCTCATCTGTAAGGCATCTTCCTTCATGCAGTTGGTCCTGCTTTTAGAGCAGATGGAAACGTTATCACGAAAAAAATTGGTGGTAATGCTTTTTTCCCCTATTGTACATTGCAGAATAGAGAAGAAACGAACTGTTGTCCCAGAGCTGGCAGAAGCTGTCAAAACACGAGATGGAAGAGAAGTGAACTGGGAATACTTCTATCAACTGTTGTTTACCTTGGATAATCTGAAACTTGTACATATTGCTTGCCATAAGAAAACCAATCATAATCTCAGCTGCGACAAAACTAAGATTTACAGGAAAAGGAAGCAAACCCACAAGATTTCTTAGCAGTACCCCTGAAAATGACTTCTGTTTTTTCCCCAAAATCATGCAACATGACACCATTTTTAAATAGCTCTAGTTTCTTAATCAAAAACATATTTAGCAAGTCTAAAGGACTTGCTAAAGGACCCCAAAGTAATTCAATTGCAGTCTCACAAAGCATACATTCAGATTATGTCTAATTCTACTCTCCCTCCTTCCTGCTTACTACAGGCCTTGCTTAGATCACGCTACGTTAAGTGTGATAAAGTACAGCTATAAATCATACTATAAAAATGAGACGCAGAGGCTGCTACTGATGAGACCTTACAATCTCTTTCTTGCCATGATAAACGTAGGCCCAAAACTCATGCTACAGACAAATGAAGTTTGTACAAAGCATTTTTAAAAAAATACTCTAAACAATGAATTTGCAGATTCATATTCCTTCAAACATTAAGGCAAACAACGTTTCAGGATAATTTTGCTCTGTGCCTCTTGCAGGTAGACAACCATTGTACTTCGAATATGCCAAATGCCAATTCAGTGACAGAGGTGTTGACTCTTCTGTATTTTGATACACTGATCCACAACTGTTCCATTTGCTATTATTTTAGATGCGCGCTTTCTAGGAGTAGTAAGGCCACGGCACATCTTTGCTTTTATGATGTTCTCTATCTGTCATCCCTCCTAATGATTTTCTTCTCCTTTCAGACAGCTTCTGCCTCTTGAGCTCAAGTTTGCTTGAAGCAAGACATGCAGCTTTACTGTGTAAGCATCACATTTATGTGCTGCTTTAGAATATTTATTGCTTTATAACACACTCCCTACCTCTCATATAACAAAATACATCCATTTTCGTAATTTATTTTTTTTAAATATCAGCTGATGGCAATTGAAATCTCAGGGACTGTCAGCATAAGCAACATTTGAATTTTCTTATTAAAAAAAATCATGGGCATCTTTCTCCATGTGTACGTGAAGGTAGAGGTGTGCAAGCAAGTGGTTAATAAAACATTAAGTAGTCTTACTATTTTAGTCTGATATAATAAGACTAAAATACTGAGACTGAAAAGACTGAGCATAGGGAAAGGTGTTTATGAGTGAGGCACTAGATACTTCTTTGTAATTAACATACTTGGCTCATCTGTAAGGAATCTTCCTTCATGCAGTTGGTCCTCCTTACCCACATAAATTCAGCTAGTTCAGGTGGAATTGTATTAAGATTCATAGTGCTGTGTGAGCCATGACTTATTAAGTCTCAGAAACACAGGAGCTTTGCTACAAAGGGCATTAAGTTATTTGAAAGGCAAACAACAAACTCAACCCCCCTCCAAAACTTTTCAACATTAAAACCAAGTAGGTGCATTTCTAACGTAGGATTTCTAAACAGCACTGTGTTGAGTTCACTCTTCCTGTTCACCTATTTTAAACATGCATGTCACCTCTAAGTAAGATGGAAACGCACTATACACCGTTTTGATGTTCCAGAAGCCATGACATCGAAGATTCTGATGACAAATACTGTGAAATCTACATGGCACACTTCCCACAAACTGAAAATCACCGTTCTGTACAGCGCTAGAACAAAGATGAAGGTCTATATATAACAGCGTATTTGCTAGAAAGAGGAAGTAGCAAATCTAAATGGGATTTGAGAAAATTTGGAAGGACTGCTTCACAATGGAGTTGTGTTGAAAACCATGAGACCAGTATTAAAATTAAATCTTTGTGTATTACTGAATTAGTGAAAAGGAGCCAAGAAATATCATCGACAAACAACATACCAGCTGAATGGGAATGTGAATGAATTAACATGTCATGCATAGACAATTTGTTTGGCTAACAATTTTAATATGAATGCTTAACAGGCTGTAGCTGTAGAAATTAATATTTAAACCATGTGCTGATTTTATTTGCTTTCTAGAAATGTAGAGGAAATTAATAAAAAAGTTCTGGAAGCTTATTGCATAACCACACTTTCAAAGAAGTATTATCATAAACACTGGATGAATGAACAGTTCCTGAAGTCTCTGAGGTTGCTCATTATTTTCCAAAAATACAAGGAAAAACAATAAATTTGGGGGACTGAGCACATCTTTAGCAGTCAATACTCACTCACCTACCAATAAAGTGCTATGCTGAGAGATTTTATTCTTTCTTTATCACCACCAATGACCACATTCTCAAAAATTCCTATTCGTAACCCTTGGAAGTAAGCTGAAGACAACATTGCACAACTTGCATTACACAAACATTTAAAAGGGCAATTTTTGTGGCTGATTTGATGGAAGAGAGAAGCCATGGGATTCACATGGTGGTTGTTCATAAAACTGACATGCAATAAGAATATATTTACCATCTTGAGACCAAAGCCATGGAACTCACGTTGACATACGTGCGTTTAGTTTTGCCAGCAAAACTGCGTTTTAAAGGTCTGAATTGCTTTCATTTTACAAGTAAAAAACGCAACACTAACCTTAAGGAACAGAGGCTGGTATCGCTCCTTGTACTGGGTAGTCTACTTGATCTATTAATAACCAGATGCCAAAATGGTAAACATCACAGAATTAAAAGGAAAAGGACTATCCAGCTGTGTTCTAGGATTGCTTGCTTACTTTTAAAGAGGAGGGAGAACAGGCCAACTGTTTCCTGGAGGTGTTGGCTCAAATGTACAGCACACTAGACCAAATAGACCAATAGACTTTTTTTTAATAAATGAAAAGCGTTAGTGGTAAAATGATAAAATACAATTTATTCCAATTCACTAAAAGTTCAGCCAAACTCTGTTCCCCCCCCCCAGATAACCAGAGGAGAGTACAGTATCTAACGAGCTCACAGAAAAACTTTACCAGTTCTCCCTCTGAGAAAAGGCAAATACAAGACACATCATGTCAGTGACATAGCCAACCATTACCTTTCACTAGCCAATACAGTGGCGTAAAATCCTTAAAAAAATAGTTTTGTTTGTTTTACATTTTGTGGTTAGAGGACATCCTCTTCCTCCTCCTCATCTTCCTTTGCAATGAAATGCAGCTTTCTAAATTCTCGTCTGCTCATTGTTGTGCTTGCAAGTGCAACTGCTGGGAGGTCCTTTAAGAAAAAGGATAAAAACTTAAGAAAAACCAATTGCTGCAAATAGCACACTTCCTACATGTCCAGTGCTTCCCGTTCCCCTACGCCTCATACATGAGGTATTAACACAGACCTCTTAGAAGTGATGGCATCTGCATAAACCTTAAATAAAAGCCTAAGAGCTCTGAAGGGAGCCTGCTATAAGGCAGTGCTGGCTCACGGTCAAAGTGAGGGCTGGCATTCCTTCTAAGCTTTTAGAAAGGGATTCAGAAAGGGTTAAGCGCTCTACAAACAAATCCTCCCTATCCACGTTAAATACCAGTCCTCGCTAAACACCAGGAAAAAAGAAAGCATCACTTGTCCAAAGTTACAGTATGTTAAAGGCAGGACCTGGGATTTGAATTTATAATTCTGTCCCTTGATCAGTCCAAAAGCAGAGCTGGTCAGAAACCAGTTTCTATTCCAAAGAAGTAAAGTAACCACAATTAAGAACCAGTGAGCAGTGAAAAACTACCTCATTAAAAAAAAAAAAAAAACTTTCTCCATAGTGCAGCTATCTGTATCTTTATGAGTAAAAGTATTTATCCTATGGAACTGGAATAATAAAATCCGAACAGGAAAGTCTTTACTTCTGACATAGACTCGGCCAGACAAGTAATTTCATCTCTGACTGAGGTCAGTCTTTCTATCTAGAAGACAGGGACACTTCTCCAGATGACTACCAATATCGGTCAAGTTTGCCAAAAATTTTGAGGCTAGACTACTGGCGTTTGGAGACACAAGGCAGGAGCAGAACAGAACCCAGTCTGTGAGCAGTAAACAGACTTTCATCATCTCACCTGTATAAACTCAACGTTTCCAAAGAATCGGTCCACTGGCATTGGTTGGTTACTGTCTTCGTCTAAGAAAGCACTATCATCGCGCTGTACTGGTGTCTTCGGGGCACCTCCGTCCTCCAAGCCGGACTCATCCGAAAGCACGCTCTCGCAGCTGCTTTCCTCTCCGACGCGGCAGGCACAGTTTTGCAGATCTTCAGCGCTTCCCGCTTCTGACGGGGCGCTGCTCGAATCCACCGCAGAGGGCTTCGGGGAAAGGTCGCCTTCCTTTCCCTGTCCCTCCGCCCTCGTCTCTGCAACGCTTTGCCCTGCTGTCCGCCGCGTTGCGTCGCCGTCTCCGGCGTCTCCCGAGTGCCGACCCTCGGCCGAGCTGC